CCTTTCCAGGACAAATCTGTTTGTTTTCCTAGCAGTCCATGGTATTCTCAATACTCTTCTCCAGCACCACAGCTCAAAGGCATCAATTCTCCTTCTATCCAGCTAGAGTACACACAACAAATATAGCTGTGATTCTCAGTGAGATGGTGAGGTTTGCACAGGATAAAACAAGGTTTCAACCTACTGTTCACAAAGTCGGTAGTGTACTCTAAGAGCAACTAACAATAACATAGTAGTGACAAAAACAGAAACCTCATTCCCTCACAGGGGAGCTCAGGTAGGCTACCCAGTAAAGAGATGCACTTTTAACCCACAGGAGTCATCTCTCTGACGGTTCACATCCACCCGCAGCTAGCTCAGTGGGAGAGCTATGGGCAATCTCCCTCACCACCCCGGAGATTTGTTGTGGTGTTGACTGAGTTGTTATAAGTTGAGAATGGTGAAGAGATTGAGATTGTTAACAGTTTTCGTTTACTTGGCTCCACAATCAACACTCTTGGTATCAGCAGCCAAGAAACCAAGAGACGAATTGCATTGGGAAAGTCAGCTGTCAGGGGCCTCTCCAGAATACTGAAGAGTAACGATGTCAGGCTGGAGACTAAGGTGCGCCTGATCCAGGTCATAGTCTTTGCAATCGCATGCTATGCGTCAGAGAGTTGGACAATAATTAGGGAGAATAGGAGAATTAATGCCTTTGAGCTGTGGTGCTAGAGAAGAGTGTTGAATATACCATAGACTGCTAGAATAACAAGTAAGTTTGTCCTGGAGAGTGTGAAACCGGCTGCTCCTTGGAAGCAAGGATTCTGAAGCTTTGTCTGACATACTTTGGGCATGTTGCAAGGAGAGACCAGTCCTTGGTGAGGGACCTCATGTTTGGGATGGTGGAGGGACAGCACAAGAGAGGAAGACCCTCACTGAGATGGATCGATTCTGAGACAATGAGGTTGACACAGGATAGATCAGGGTTTAGGGCTCTTCTACATAGAGTCGCTTGGAGTCCCAAGCGACTCAACGGCACATAACAACAACCACCACTCACAGCGACCCTTTGAACCCTGCCCTATATCCTAAAACTGCAATCTACAAGCTTCAAGAACCCGCTGAGGGATCAGCTGTGAGTCGGTTCCAACTCATAGCAGTTGAGTCTGACTTCCCATAGAGTTTACACTAAATAGGAAAATACGTGTGTTCTGTCCGATTACCATAAATATATTTGTAATCTCAAAAATTCATAATCTCGCATACCTTTAAGAGTATCATGCTTGGAAAGGCGGAGGGATGGTGAAGGAAAGGATGACCCTCAACCATGTGGATTGACACAATGACTGAAGCAATGGACTCAGTGTGTCAGATTGTGAGGACGGCACAGATTAGGACAGGTTTCAGAACTGGTCGCTAGGAGGCGTACTCGACTCCAAGGCACCTATAACAATCTAATAAAAAGAAAAGCACACTCATTTTTGCTCTTTATTCACCACATCTGGTCAATCTACCCTTTCTTGGCCGGATAGTAGAGTACTCATGATTTAGGGTCAGTTGCTGGACAAAATCAAGCAGCAACGCGGAAGGACAAAGACCCCGCGGCCCCAGGGGTGAGTCGCTCCCTGCGGCGCATGGCAGTGACGTCAAGTCACGCCCCCTCGCCGCTCCATATCGCCCGCCTCCACGTCCTAACAATTCCCGGCTCATCCGCGGTGCTTCGGTCCTGCTGACCGCAGCGGAATTCGCGCCGTCGCCTCGCCGGAAGCTGCTCACGGCGCGGCGAGGCCTGTTTGTGTGGACGGGGGCCGAGCGAGCGCTGTCTGTCCCCGCCCGCTGCAGCTCGTCAGCCCGCTCGTCGGCGAGCCGGGTGCTGCGGCCGCTGTCCGCCCTCCCTCCGTGTTTGGTAAACAGAAGGCTTCGCGCGCTCAGAGCCTGCGACCCCTCACTCGGCCCGGCGAGCCCCTGGGCGTGAACCGAGCTGAGGGAGGATGGCAGCCTCTGGGGTGGAGAAAAGCAGCAAGAAAAAGACTGAGAAGAAACTTGCTGCTCGAGAAGAAGCTAAATTGTTGGCAGGCTTCATGGGTGTCATGAATAACATGCGGAAACAGGTACCGCCTCTGTGGGAGGGACAGACCAAAGTGGGGAGGTGTCCGGGACCTGGGTCCGCTTCTCCCTGCACCACCAACCTTCTGTCCCTCTGTCTGCGCCCTTCCCTCCATCCTCGAGTGCACACGAAGCTGCTGTTGGTAGAGGCTCGTGTTAAGTAGTTCTCGAGTCAACGTGCTTCCATGTTTGCTGGTGATGTGGCTCCGGAGTCAGGCTCCCGGGAGACTCGGGCTGGGTTTTGGCATCGGGCATCGGTTGTGTAACGGCGCTGCCCTAGTTCTCTCTTTGTGAGGGGAGGATCCTTCCGTTGATGAGCCATTTTAAGGAATCGTAAGATCGGTGTGAGGAAGTCCATTGGCACAGCCCAGTCTGAAGCCCCCAAACGAGGGAGACGCGTTGCTGAAATGAAAATCAGCTGCTCTCTGTAACCCGGGTAGAGCTGTTTGAAGACAAATCCTCCTGTCGGGGCTCCTTCAGAGCAGGAACAGTCATCAATAAATGCCTTGCCTTCTTTTAAGGGCTCCGTGCGCCCCTGTTATTAAGAGGAGGAGCTCTTTGTTCTGCCTTTGATGTGTGGTGCGTTCAGGAAAGTCTACAGCACATCCGCGAAAGGTGGGTTATGAAAAGAACCGATTTTAATTCTGGAAGAAGGTAGATTAGAGAGGCTTTCATTCTCCCCCGACCCCCCAGCCCCTAAGACCTAATATGCCAGTAAGGAGAAAGTAGCTGGGTTGCTCTTTGATTCTGTAAGCTTTATCTCCAGAAAATACACATCTAAGGAGATTTCAAGGAATTTCTTGGTTTGATGACTTTGGTTCTGTTTGTTTTCCAGTAAGATAAAAGTAGGATGGGAGTATGAGCCCCAGGAAACCTAGTTTGCTTGTCTAGTGATTCTAATAGGAACATAACAGTAGAAAGCTTTAATATTTTTATGATGACACTAATTTCTCGCCTCCTAAAAAAAACTCTGACTGCCCGATCCTGGGCTTTGTTCCTGGCACAGTGGGTGCACAGATCCTGGTGCTTAACCAGAGTGCGGTAAATAGCCAGAGAAATGCCTTTGAATTGTTCTTGGCCTTTGTGCTGAAGGAAAAGTGTGTGATTATGTGAACTCGTTATTGATTGTATAGAATTTGCTTTCATGTATCAGTTTTTGCATTTATGCTCTTCTTATGTCAACCTTTATGTGTTTACACTACCCGGGACTTCAGAGTACTGGTACATCAGTGTTTACATCATCAGTGTTTACACTTGCTCAGGACCCTGTGTAGGATTCTCTGTCTCCTCCAAGTATATATGTTTTCATTTATGGACTATAATACTGTAAAACGTTGTCTCTTAAATAGATAGGATGCAACTGGGCTGCAGCATCAGTTATTTAAATGAGGAGGAGGGGATAGGTAGGGAGCTACAGGGTTAGCTCTGGGGATTTGAAAATTGATCCACATCTATTTTTTGCAGACTTTAGACTGTGTTGTCTGTTAGCTATTTGTTGTTAAAATATAAATAATGTACAAATACTACTAATTAATAAAAAAATCAGGGTTCTATTACTGAGTATAGGGAAATGGATACTTCGTGAATAACCAGGAATTTTTTTCTTTAATTGACCTTAATCTCCTGGATTCTCCTTTTGTCAGTGCCTTTGCCTGTAATTTAAGCAGTTCTCCAATATAATTTTTGTCAACTCCTTGCAATCTGGCATCTTTCGCAACATGCACCATTTTACTTGGAAGTGGATTTACATAGGGTTTATATTGTAGTCTACTTAATAGCATCATAGAAACTAACCAAGAATGCTTGGCACTGACCAAAACACTGCCTGGTCCTATGCCATAATCAAAATTATTGCTATATTTGAGTTCATTACTGTAGCCAGTCTATTTCATTGAAGGCCTTGCTCTTAATTCACTGACCTTCTATCAAAATGATGTCCTTCTCCTGGGACTGGCCCCTGCTTCCATCAAGTCTGTAAAATACAGGAGATGAGTTCTCACCATCCTGTCTTACAAGGAACATTCTCTCTGTACTACTTTCAAGACAGATATGTTCCTTCTTCTAGCATAATCCTGTGCCATCTTCTTGATATACTCAATCTCCTTTGCCAACAACGTAATTCAAACACATCAGTTCTTTGGTTTTTCTTGTTCACTTTCTAGATTCACATACCATGCCTTACCTTAGTCTACAAGGTGAAATCTTGGCTTTTTAACATTTTTTAAAGGTCTTTTGCTGGAATTGCTGGTGGCCTGGTGACAAGAAGCTATGCTGCAATCCCAAAGGCACACAGTTCTAATCCATCAGATGCTCAGCCGGAGAAAGATCCTGTGCTAGTCGGATCCTATTCGATGGCACACAAGAAATAAAACAAAGTCTTTTGCAACAGACTTGCTTGGTGTTATACGTGCTTGATTTCATGGTTGATACTTCAGTGTGCATTAATTATGGGTTTAAGTAAAATCCCTGACAACTTAAATATTCATTTGTCATGGCATTGCTTATTGGTCCAATTGTGAGGATTTCTGTTTTATTTATGTTGAAATGCAATTCCTACTGAAGGCTGTATATGTACTTTGATCTTCATCAGTAAGTACTTCAGTTCTTCAGTTTCAGCAATTAAGGTTATATGCCATCTGCATATAGTAAATTGCTAAAGAAACTTCCTCATACCGTATTCTTCTTCATACAGTCCAATTTCTCAGATTATTTTTCACCACAGAGATTGAATAAATGTGGTGAAGGATACAGCCCCAAAAGACACTATTCTTTCTTTTAAGCCGTGCGGTATCCATACCCTTGTTCGGTTCTGTGTGAACACAACTAAATGTTCTCAATTCCCATTCTTCTCAGTGTTATCCATTATTTGTTATGATCTACACAGTCATGTCTTTACATAGTCAGTAAAATTCAGGTAAACTTCTTTTTGATGTTTGCTGCTTTCAACCAAGACCCATCTGACATTCGTAAAGATATTCCACATTTTCTTCTGCATCTGGCTTGAATTTTGGCAGTTCTGTGTTGCTGTACTGCTGCAACCATTTTTTAATTTTCGACAAAATTTTACTTGTGTATGATATTAATTACATTGTTGGTTTCTTCTTTTCAATCTCTTTTCTTTGGGATAGACATAAATATGAATCTCTTCCAGTTGGTTTTCAGCTTATTGTCTTCAGATATCTTGGCACTCATGAGTGCATCTCCAGTGTTGAATCTGTTTGTTGAAGCATCTCAATTGGCAATAGTTAATAGGAATTGGCTTAAATAGAAGCTTATTTGAGCTAAAGGAATGTTTGAGGGATGACCGATGCTCTAAGTGTTCTTGTTTGGTGAAAATTTTTGTTTATAACTAGTTTCACTTCCATTTATGATCTTATTGCTTTGAATAATACCAAAATGCCAAAAGAACAAACAAATATGTCTTGGTGAAAAGTGCAACCAGGGTACTTCTTAGAAGCAGGGATAGTGTAACTTCTTACATATTCTGGGCATGTTCTTAGGAGGGACCAGTCCTTGTTAGAGGACATCATGCATGGAAAAGTAGAGGGACAGCAAAGGAAGGGAACACTCTTTATGAGATTGATTGACACAGTGACTGCAGCTGTGGTCTCAAGAATAACGGAGATTTGAGGATGGCACAGGATTGGACAGGGTTCATATCCATTTATCATAGGATTGCTGTGGGTCCTCATCATCACAGCAGCACCTAACAACAGATGACAAAGATGTAGACACCTTCTAACAAGAATTTGAAAGCACCATATTAAACCATTAATTGCTTGTTCTTATCTCAGATAAATTATTTGATTCATTTCATGGCTATCAATCTGAAGGAAAGGCTGGCATGGGGTGGTTTACAGAGCCCACTCCTCAAAATTTTACAGAGTCTTTTCCCCTAACTTTTTTCTCATTTCTAGTCTTTTAAATAAATTTTCAATGAAATATAGAAAGCTGTGTGTTCTAAAAGCTCAGTGAATGTTTAAATGACCATTCTACCAACACCAAGAAATAAACTATGACCAGTACGCCAGATGCCTCACTTTCTCAATCACAGCTGCCTTTCTGCCCCATGTCAAAGATAATCATAAGGAAGAAAGAGTAATTTATTTTTTTTTTTTTAAGAAAGCAACTTTTAACTAGAAAAGGAGGAAATAACCTGTCACGTAGGGGTCACTAATTATATATAAATGCCCTAATTCAAAGCCAGCTTACCACAGAATGGCAAATATAAGAAGTTGATAGATGTGGTGAATGGCCATTGTAACTGGAGCATGTGTAGCATAAGAGGAAATGTGGCAGAGAAACATGGAGAAGTAGCTAAGGATTTTTCTCATACTTAGCCTTATAAGGGACGTTTGAGGTTTGCCTTTATTCTGAAGATCTTTAAAAGATCTGTGTAGAAGGATGAGTAAGTCATAGTTGTTTTGCTTTTGAAAAAAAAAATGACTGAGTGCCGTGTAATAAATAAATCCAGTAGAGTTCAGAGTGGTCGCTGGCAGAACAAATATGAAATTTCATAGCCTCAGGAAGATACAGTCATCCCTTGGACTAAGTTGACAACAATATAGTTAAAAAAAGATGATATTCTAAAGATTTAGGAGGTCAGATCCAAAATTTTGTGGTGACCAAATTGTGTAACAAAATTAGATTAGACTAATTTTTATATCAGAAACTGGTATGTAATACAGTACCTGGTATCTCTTTTAACTAACAACAGTACTTGATACCAAGAAAACAAAAATCTTCAGCAGTAGACAACATCATGATATAAGGAGAAGTGATTGAAGTTGAAGTTATTTCATTTTACTTGAATCCACAATCAACACACATGGTAGTAAAAAATAAAAATAATTACTGCACAGGGAAAATCTGATGTCAAAGACTTCTTTAGATTGCTAAAGAGCAAGAATGTCTGTTTCAAGACTAGGGTACACCTGGTCCAAGCCATGGTCTTTTCACTTGCTCTCTATGTATCTGAAAGTTGGACAATGAATAGGTAGAATGAAGAATTGATGCTTAGGCCACTGCACTCTGGAGCAAGCCACTGCGGAGCGTTACCCCAGGTCACTGTGGAGCGACATAGGTATTCAAGACAGGGCTAGTGCGCCTGTTGTTGTTGGCCATCAACATGTCTGGAAAATGCTGTGCTGGCCAGCTGGCCTGCTGCTGTGGCTATGCTGGCTGCTCCCTGTGCTATGGCTGCTGCCCCAAGATCCAGCAGTCCCGGGGTACCTGCTTCATGTATGCACTATAGTTCATCCTCGTGGTCATCTTGTGCTGCATCATGATATCAGAAACTGTGGCCAGAGAGGTAAGAGAGCATGTTCCTTTCTTTGAAGATCTTTGTAATGGTATAAAAGCTGGTGACCCATGTAAGAAGCTGGTGGGGTACTCTGCAGTATACAGAGTCTGCTTCAGAATGGTGTGCTGCTTCTCTTTCTTCTCCCTGCCGACCCTCAGAATCAATAACAGCAAGAGTTGTATATTCACAGTGGCTTTTGGTTCTTCAGACTTCTGCTGTTGGGGGCCATGTGCTCAGGAGTTTTCTTAATTCCAAATCAAGAGACCTTTCTCAACGCCTGGCACTATGTGGGAGCTATAGGATCCTTCATCTT